GAATTAATTCACCCCCTGGATTTGAATTTGATAGATTATTTTTGTTGTACCGACCTGAATCAGAGATGAAAGCACCGCAGTTCTGGCAATGCTGAATACTACGAGAGATATTAAGGCGTAGGACGTCCAAGCCCGCGACCAGCGCGGCGGCCAGCCGCTGCAGCCGAGGATCCCGGCCAGCTGCAGCACCACCATGTTGCAGTGCCACTGCGCCACCAGGACGCGCCGGGAGAGGGCGACCGACCACGTCGCCGTCGTCTCCCCCGGACGCCGCCACGAGTGCGCCATGGCGAATAGAGTTCGCGACTGACGCCACGAGGACGAGGCCCTCCGGCCACGGCCGAGACCACGGCTGTGCGCAGGTGTCGGTCGATTTGTCCACGAAGGAACGCCACATAAATGACGTCGATCGTAATCGATAGCTGATTGGACTTGAGGCTTAGCCGGGGACGGATATTGCCTCTAGTTAATGCAAATGAGAAAATCTGATTATATAAAGCTATTAAAAAAAACTGTCAAAAAGTTGAGATGAGTTAACATACCTCCCCTCATACGGCACGCCCTGGCTGCGGCGCAGTCGTCGCCTGCTCTTTCAAGACGTCATCTGGTCGGCGAGCGACACGGCCATGCGACGATGTACCGGGTGTACCGGCCTCCTCACCTCTCCCCAGACCTGGACCCGTGCGCCCGCCGAGTCGAGGGTAGGCAAACCCGCCCGCACCTGCGTCTTCTCTGAATCACCCGATACGTCCCGGCCGGGCCGTGCGGCAGGTGGCAGCCCCTGGCTTTCGCCGGAGCATCTTCGAGCGGCACCTGGATCTCTATCTTCTCCCCCTCCCGCAGGTACCGGAGTGATTCGGAGAAGACAGAAGACGAAGGTGCGGGCGGGTTTGCCTACCTAAGGAGCCACAGCGCCTTACGGGCAGAGCGAGTAGGCAAACCCGCTCGCACCTGCTTCTTCCGTGAATCACCCGGTACAGTGTAGGGGAGTCAGTTGCCTGGGCTGGCACCAGGCGGATACTGCACGCCGTGGCCGTGGCGTGGTTCGCCAACGGCAGCGGATGCGACCCGGGCGCGGATTTCGGCGCCGGCCGGCGGCTTTGGCAGCTGCGAGGACTATAAAACGGCCGGGGCCGAGAAAGGTAGCATCAGTACATTTCAGTACGTCTTCCCCAGCAGCCGCACAGCTCCCCACACAAACCAGCACCATGCA